GGAATATTATTTCAGGAGTAGAACACCCTGTATTACTAATTATGAATATATTTTTTTTTAATGAAGTGTGATTTCGAATATTTGGAATATAAGCCGCACCCCAGTTTTCCTCTTTGGCAAAAAATGCGCGGCCTATACATGCGTAAATACGGTATTAGTATATAGAGTGTTTATTGGTTGAGGTAGTATGCTAAAAGCCGATAGGTCACGGTTTCTATTGCCGATGAGGTAACTGGGTACTTTGAATTGACTTAATCCTTCCAGCCTCAGTATGGCCCTGGGGTCCACTCAGCCGGCGACTAAGGGTGGCAACCTCACCAGCATCTGTGAGCTGAATGTGCAGAAAATGTGGGAGTCGTAACGTCCCACAACCCTATGGGCCCCCATGGCCTGTTACAAGGATAGCTTTACCTTTATAGAATTTTTATTTTAAATCTCAAGGTAAACAGTCATTTTGGAGATTTAGGTCTGCGTGGTCCACAGAGAAAGAATGGATGACGCCTAAAATCCATGTAAGCAGGTCGATTTGACGTGGCGTGTGGGGAGAAAGTTCTAATGTAGATACGCAGATATGTCCCCTAGCATTGTCAGAGCGTTTAAAAGAAGGGAGTTTAGATGAGTTTAGCATGCATGTAACCTCCTGAAAAATAGAGATTCATATAAAATTTTGGTTTCGAAACTCAGCTGAAGTATGCTCTTGAAAGCCGTTCTGTTGGTTTGATAATAATATTAAAACGTATCTGAGACACATAGGTAAAAACATTAAATGGATTACACCACACGTGTTTCTGCACTGTTCTGTATGGCATTATATCTGCAAAGTAATTTTGATACGTTTAGAAATACTGTGTGGCGTCCGAAACATAAACTTTTACTCGGGCCGAAATGTGTTTCCAAAATTAACCTTCCAAAATAGACCGAAGAAGTTTTATTACTCGTGCATTCACTGTGCGTTTTAATTTTCTAGTCGTCTGAAAAAATTAATGGACCTTGTTACCTTTCCTCACAGGTAAAGGACTCGTTCTAATTTAGATGTGTTTTAAACTTTTATAAACTTCTTTCAAAGCTCTGGTTAATTCAGTCTCTCTTTCTCTGTTTCCTACGAGGAAATGGACTTAGAGGGTAATCCTGTCTGTCGCCGTCAGGGTCGGACAAATTAAATTCCACAGCCAAATGTGGACTTTAACACGCCTCTGTCAAGGGAAATTAAAGGAATTGAGTATGTGGTTAAACTGCGATAAAGATGTGTTGCAAGCAGGATTTCCTTAAAATCATCACAGATATTAAGTAAAATGTTTACTGTAATGATCTCGTGACCAACTCTGTAAGCACAATCCCGAAGTTACGCCCTTAACAATAGAAGAGCATCCATTGCTAAGCAACGGACAAATAAACACATTCTTGACATTAGAAGTTGGCGTTTTCCTTGGTGTCCGTGCCGAGGCGTTATAAGAGGACACAGAAGAACTGGAGGAGTACAAAGGAGTACGTAGGAGTACAACGGAGTTCAACGAAGTTCAGTTGGAAGTAAGAATAGTACCCTTGGAGTGTCCAGTCGGAGAAAGAAAACAGTGTGTCAAGTAGTGATTTGCGAACTGTTGTAACCAGTTTATAAAGGTCCAATAAATTCAATCGTCAAACCAATCCCCCGTCTTATTAGTCAAGCAAACCCCCGATACGCGACAATATATATATATATATATATATATTATAAATTTCTATTATTTTCCACTCGTAACGCCGCATTTTGAAGGCTTTATGAAATAATTGTTTCCATGCAATAAAATGGCGCTTATCATAGATAAATTTGATAATAAAAAGACTGGTTAAGATAGCCCAGACAGCAGACCAGAGGCGTACCTTTACGCAACTATGTATACAAACGAGTTAATTATGTACGCTGGCATGTAGACCCGTTGTTAGGCAACGATCACGAAATAAGCACCTATACAATAGCCGTTTTTAAGTACTGGCTCTGTAAACAACGGCGTTGCTAGATAATTGCCGCAACGAACACGAACGAAACGATAGATGTTTTCTACACGGTACGTTCCGAGGCTATATAACGAGGTCCAAGTGCCACTAGAAGAACCTTGGGACGGCTGGAGAGTAGGAGGTTCGTGTGAGATGGCCGCCAGACTGGGGATTAGTTAGTGGAGTGGAGCGAGTTGTTTGGTGAGTCAGTCAGTCAGAGGACTTCTGCCGTTCAGCTGTTGCTCTTAGAAGCTGTAGCTGAGACACTGGGACAGCTCGGTAACCCAGAGTAATGGGAACGTCCAGAGCTCAGGCGGTTAGTCGCCGAATTCCAATCGCAGCGGCTCGGGTTCGAGCCCGGGTCAGGTGATCCATTATTTGTGGCGGACAAACTGTCGTTGGCGTAGGTTTTCTCCGAGTACTTCGGTTTCCCCTGCTAATTCGCATTCCACTGATTGCTCCACAATCGTCACCATCTGTCATCTGGGCTGGTACAATAGGCCAAACAATGGCCGCAGTACCAAATGCAGTCTCACCCCATGAGAAAAATGAAAAAGGGGTAGCCCTCGCTGTTGGAAGCCGTTACCAGACAACGACTTATGAAGACATAGGAGACTGAGAAGACTCAGTACGTGCTGTAGTGAACTTCTGAATGTGTGAATTAGCGATAGCGCTGTAGTTACTTGTAGTTACGGTCTGTAAGTGTTCAATAAATCCAGTTACGAATCTAAACACCGCCTATAGTCACGCCTAATTACGTGACAATTTTCTGTTTTTAGCATACTTCCAGTATGCATACGAAGATGGAATACTGAGACATACTTTCACAGGATTTCTCTTTATGTACACAAAGTATGTTATATCCTGCTTCACAACCAAATGGATTTTGTATAGTGCGGAACGCCATGGTAATAATGAAATAATGAATTAGAACGTATCCATAAGGATGCAGTCTCGTCCTTGTTCAATACATAATTCAAGTATTTTCCCTGTACAGAATTAGGAAATCCTTAGTGTGGTGGATCTGAGGGCAGAATTATAAATCGCGACCTTCTGAATCTGAAATATGAAAGCTAACCTTATACCAGGTCACTCATTTTCTAAGGGCTACCATAAATGAAATTCGACCATTTCATTTTTAGAAACCTCCAGTGAAATATTTCGGTCCCACGGAACACAGTTTGATAACCGCGAAACCTATGCCTATTTGCTGCCATGTCAGTCCCATGGACAACGCCACAAAGAACCATTTACCTGTAACACTAAATTCAAGCGATAAGGGGCGTGTACCAACACAACTAAGGTCCAAGAATTATAGGCAAACTGAATGAGAAGTGTATGGTGTGTTGCCTATACGACAGGCATTAATGTGCTGGATTACGTAATGCAATTGGAATCTCCACATTGTTACAGGACAAATACGACATCCTGTGACATAGATTGAACGACACGGTGAAATATAAGCGTTACACCACCATTTTGGGATTGTTTCAGAAATCAACAAAGGTGGCAAAGTGGACAGCATATCACGTTTCGTACGCATGAAGGCTACTTCGGTCTTTGACGGCCTCAGCTTCAGAGTAGTTCGTTGAACGAATGGAATGTAGACAACATAAAGTATTCATCCCAGTAATGGCTACAGAGCTTGTCTAAAACGTAGAATAATTTGACATTTGTTGTTCTCACGGCCGTAACACTGAACAGCACTGTTTTCTGGGATATGGAACCATGTAGTCTGGTAAAATTTCACAGATGTTTCGGAAGAATATATTACCCCAATCATCAGGGTCGAAAAAATAACAAATTGCGAAAGCGCTTTGCTTATTCCTGACTTGTTTGCATGCTCGTCTTTTCCTTCGACTTTGAAACTGGAAGCAGTACATTCTTCCGAAATGTCTATTAAAGTTCTACCAGACTAAACGGCGTCGTATCCCAGAAGGTAGTGATATCCAATGGTTTGTCACTTAAGCGTCCATTTATTAGTTTCTCTGAATTTTTTAAATTCATATTTTGGCCTAATTGTGATGCAGTGAGACCCCTAAGAGTTCGTTAGTACTCATACGAGAGATGGGCCCTGTCTCAGGGCCTCTACCAAGAGAAAACAACACAGCACAGGAAATGGGAGTGCGAATATTTCAAGCCCACTGCCGTGTTCTAGCACGCAGTACAAATGCTGAAGTGGTCTTGTATTTAGTTCAACGTGCAGAATATCGAAAATTGTTTCAAACGGAAGTTGTTAATATTGTCACGTTTTGGGGTGCATGGCTGTTAGACTGGGTGTGGATTGGATATTGGATTTGTTGACACCTTATGCACACCT